TTATAAAGTAACAGTCGCCGAGTCAAGACGTAAAGTCAGCCAGTCAGTTGTATTGTGGCATTTGGAGTGTACTAATTGTGATACTGCAGATAGCAGTAACCGTAAATCTGTAATTTGGGTGATTGTAAGTGCGAATGTGAAATAAAATTCGCTACATCGAATACATCGAGAATTTATTCGTCGCGTCATACCCCGCGATACGCGACAATATCGATGGAGATGTAATTGCAACAAATTTCTATTTTTGCAAAGAACTTCCCGAGTGAGACACTGGTGAAGAAGTATTTCGTGTCACTAATGAATATGTTACATAATGAATTAAGATGGAAGGATTGGTTAGTGTTTGTACAGATGGGGCCAGTTCTATGACAGGCCATGTTAAAGGATTTGTAGCTAAAGTATGCAAAGTAAATCCTAACATATAATGCAACCATTGTCTCATTCACCGCGAAGCCATTGTTGCTAAGTATTTGCCATCTTCTCTGAAAGTTGTGCTGGACGAAGTAGTAAAAGTCGTGAACCTCATCAAATCGTGGCCCCTAAATTCGCGGCTTTTTCCGTTTTGTGTCAGGAAATGGAATCAGAACACACTACACTCCTACTACGTAGGTTGTACTGAAAGTCAGGAGCAACTTTTTTGCATGAAACCTGGGAACAGCAGATAAAAGAGAGTATGGTGGTAGGTGGAACCAGCTGTTGTGTTAACCTTGAGTGTCTTGTGACATCAATAGCTTGCATCACGTGACCAGTATCACTACTAACAAAATGGCCGACAACGATATGTCGTTTCGCCAGCATGCTGTCATCGAATTTCTTGTGAAAGAGGAAATCCCTCCTGCAGAAATTCACCAGAGACTTCAGCGTGCTTATGGAAGTGTGTGCATAAGTGCGAGCAGTCTTCGAAGATGGGTGAAACATTTTAAAGATGGGAACACCAGCATCAAAGATGAGCCTCGGAGCGGTCGTCCTCGAACAGCCTCAACTGAACGCAACAAGGGAATAGTGGATGAGATCATTCAAGATGACAGGCATGTGACTGTGGACACAATAGCCCGAAAACTTGGAATAGGGCACAGTGCAGTACAGGAGATGATTGAAAGCTTGGGCTATAGGAAAGTTTGTGCTCGTTGGGTCCCGCAGTTATTGACCAAAGACCACAAAGGTCAGCGAAAAGCCATCACCTCAGAACTGCTGCAGAGATATCGACATGAATGCAGTGATTTTTTGCTCTGTATTGTGACGGGTGACGAAAGCTGGTTTCACCATTTCGAGCCTGAAATGAAACAGCAGAGTATGGAATGGCACCATTTGCATTCTCCATCAAAAAAGAAGGCAAAGACAGTGCCATCAGCTGTGAAGGTGATGCGCACAGTCTTCTGGGATGCAGAGGGGTTTATTCTGGCGGAATTCCTGGAACCTGGGCAAACCATCAGTGTTGCTCATTATGCCCAGATGCTGCACAAGCTCCATCGTACATTGTGCAATAAACGTCCGGGATGAAACATCATCATCCTGCATGACAGCGCTTGCCCCCACACTGTTCGCCTCACATTGGAAGCAATTGCAAAGATGGGGTGGGAAGTTCTTCCACATCCCTCCTATAGCCCTGATCTGGCACCCTCCGACTACCATCTTTTCAGATTTGTGAAGGATCAACTGCGTGGACGTTTTGAGACAAGGGAGGAAATTCAGAAAGCAGTGCGTCAGTGTCTTCAGATGGCTGGAATGGAATTTTACAAAAGGAGAATTTTCAAACTCCCGGAACGCTGGGAGAAATGTGTGGCGATTATGTGGAAAAATAAAGAAAGGTCTGTAGATTGAGGCGGTGTATTTGGTTTGTCAATAATAAAGCATGTTACTTTACAAAAAATTGTTGCTGATGACTTTCAGTATGGCCCTCGTAGCTTGTATACCCCATGACTGGGGAGCTTGCAAACACAGCAATAGAGCCAGCGACGACGACTGGCTGCTTCTCCCTACTTCACGGCTCCGATAATAAGTATACTGAGAGAAGAAAGGGAAGGGGCGGTTCACACAGACATGAAGGTGTCATGGAAGAGAGTTGAGATGGTGGTGCAGTGTAGTTATAGAGTTATTTGGAAGAGTGCGGCTGTGAAAACAAGAGTGCATGAGTATTATTTAGAGTAATTCAGTGGGACCGTTAGAGTTCCTGTGTTTTAACTGGGTTACAAGATGACTAGTGAGTGTGTAATGGTGAATTATAAAGTATAGAAATAGTGACAGCGATGTAATTACATATAATTATTGGTGTTGTGTTTAAGGAGTAAATAATAAATAAACCCACATAATTACCACATGAGATATATGTTTCAGGTTTCCCTAAACTTGGAATCAGTTTGTTCAAACAGCATAACTTAACAAGCACCTCTTTTACCTTCTTGACCACAGATGGTCCAAAATCTTGCTGACCTGCCGAGAAGTCCTAAAAACTGCCACACTCTATTAGTAATAATTAAGTTGTGACTAATGCTATAGTATTGACAACCAAAAGAGAAAATTATATATTCACAGAAAACGGAAGAATGGCATTCATATATAGAGCTCATAGAAGATGAAGCAGTGTTGCAAAGGAGAAGATTTAGACTTGTGAAAACAGTTATGTAGGTGGGTCAAATGAAAACCGTAACACTGAGATAAAAATTGGAAATATCGTGCCACTGCCCTATAAGTTGGCAGACATGTTACCAATGCTACAAAGAGTATCCTATAAGTGGCAGAATAATGCAGACAAACAGAATGCCATCACAGTGCCGGTTTGAAGACGGCTGCTTTACTACATACATGCATGAAAGAACAACGATGTTCTGTAATTCGTTTTTTGATCAGTGAAGGTGTGAAACCAAATGAAGTTCATCAACAGATGAAGGTTCAGTATGGTGATGCATGCTTCCCACAGCAGCAAGTGTACGGGTGCAGTAGGAAATTCAGAATGGTGTGACGTCTGTGACAGACGCTCCTCGCCCGGGTCAGGTGCACAGAGTTATGACCCCAAAGTCTACTGCAGCAGTTGAAGCCCTAGTGAAGGAGAATCGCTGAGTGCTGGTGGATAAAATAGCCGAAATTCTTAACATGACTCATGGATCAGCACACCATGTCATTCATGTGCTACAGTTTCACAAAGTGTCTGCAAGGTGGGTGCCACAGCAGCTGACTCCAGAACTGAAACGACGCTTGTGAAGAACATCTGCGGCACCTTGAAGCAGAGGCTGATGGCTTCATTTCAAGAATTGTTACTGATAATGAAACTTGGGTGCAGTACCACCAACTGGAAACAAAGAGAACGAGCAAGGAATGGCGTCATTCCTCATGACCAAAACCCAAGAAGTTCTGAATGCAGCCATCTGCAGGGAAGAGTATGCTGACTCTCTTTTGGGATTAACGAGGTGTACTCTTAGAGCACTCCACGCCTTGGGGGAACACTATCACCAGTGCCTCATATTCAGATCTCTTGAAGAATCATCTTCGACCTGCAGTCAGATCAAAGCAACGTGGACTTTTGCAACATGGCAATGCTCAACCCCATACTGCCCATGCAACAGTTGCAACAATCCAAGACTTGCACTTTGAGTGTCTTCCACATCCACCATACTCACCCCAAGTGATTATCACATGTTTGGGCCACTAAAAGAGGTGATGGGAGGAAAGAAGTTATGTTCTGATGAAGAGGTACAGCAGGCAGTGCATGAGTGGTTGCGCAGACAACCAGAAGAATTCTTTTCTAGAGGAATCCATACACTTTGTAAATGCTGGAGAGCCTGTATTGAACGAAATGAAGACTATGTAGAAAGATGTTATAGTTGTGTACCGCTTTCGTTCAATAAATTAAATTTAAGAAAAAATTTACAGTTTTCATTTGACTCACCCTTGTATGTAGATGTGTTTCTGTATAAGTGCTTCTTACAGAAGCATATGAAAGAGTGCCTACAAACTGAGTACTTTTGAAAGCTCAAGTACCTGGTGGGAATGAGACATTTAAATCTTCGGAAGAGCGACTTTGGAGGCAAAAGGTTCAAGATGATTTATGCCAATTTAACATTCAAGATGACTGTGCATCTGGACAGTACAGTAGCTGATCAGCTTCCTGAAATTCTGTGTAAAGCCCCCACTCACTCAGCTACTCAAGAAACTCCCAACATAATATGGAACCTAAAGATTCATTACCGTGTTCACAAGAGCCTTTCACTAGTCCCTAAACTAATCCAGATCAATCCAGTTTATATCATCCCATGCTATTTCTGCAAGATCCATTTTAATATTACCCGCCACCTATGTCAATATTTCATCCCTCTTCAGTCCAAATATTCTCAGCATCCCATCCTCAAACACCCTCAGCATTCAGGTAAGATTACAAGACAAAAATAAAGAATAATCATTTTACCCATTCTCAACACTGATGATTTATGGATACATGAAGTCATTAATGGAAATGAGCAGAAAAAGCAAGTTTACTGTTCTACAATTCTTACTGAAGCAATAATACAATAACTTCTCCATGTGGCCAACATCTTACCTGAAGCAAGTTCTTGCTCTCTTTAAAAGAGAACTAATTTCATAAATGAATAACAGAACCATCATTTCTGATGTGCACTGTGGTAATGAAGCAGTTGTGTGTTGGCTCTGCACAGGTGTGATATTCAACAGTTGGTTATGATATATGAGCCTTGCATTCTGATTAACTTACATCAGATGCACAGAACTCGGAAATTCTAACCTTACTGTGAATGTAGTACAAGCCATTCATTAACTGCCGCATTACATTCGTGATTTCCTACGCAGCAAACTTCACATTAACATTGGACATTATAATACAAATTACATATACAAGAGGTAACATAACCCTGTCCTTCCTCATAAAAGGAAAGTAAGCCTATAAGAAAAAATATAATGGCACATTTTAACAGATTAACATTCTGCTGAAAAAATAGAACTGTACAATTACTTTCTCCAGTTCTAATTTAAAAAATAAAGTATACACAAACCTTTGGTTCTGCATATTTCGATGATGTCGACCACATTCTCATGTTTTGGGTGCTCCAAATTTGAATTTCCCACAAGGCAGTGATAGGGAACTGAAACATATAAATTTCCGTGATAATTCCTGTCAAACACAACACTTCCCAAATAACTCCCTCACACACTATTTTGTAGGACTGAGTTTTTTGTTCTACAATATGGTGACACCATATGCTTCATCGCATACATCCATCCTCAGGTGAAACAATCAACAAGTCTTTTGCCATTGAACTGCTACTCTATATGGATTCATATATTACCATTATCTTGGTGTGTTAGAAAATAAAATGGAAAAAAGTTATTTATTTCTGTCACTTTTCTAATCATCTTCATACACACAGATTATACAGTTGTATTCCTACAATGAACCAAAAATTGGTTTAAATTCATAAGTAAAACAACATCTAAATATCTAAAATATTAAACAACGTATCAAAGAAACAAAAACAAACTGTTGTTTTAGTCTGCAAGCAAACTATACTGAGTGACCGACACTTGTAGGTGGAGATAGTGCCAAATTTAGCAGAGAGGGGGTGTCGCGTGGTCAGCGCAATGAATCCCATGGTCAGTGATTTAGGTTTTCTAGACCAGAGCCGCTATTTCCTTGAAATAGCTCCTCAGTTATCCTAAGGAGGCTGAGTGAACCCCGTTGCAGACCCACTGGTAGCGCCGGGAATCGAACCTCTGGACCTCTGGATCTATAGCCAGGAATTCTGACCACCAGGCCACACATGCAGTCAACAACGTATCAAAAGTACTGAATTATTATTATTATCGTCACTAATAACCTTTGCGGGCCTTGGCCTGCTCTAAAAACTTTCTCCAGCCATTCCGCTCTTGTGCCTTTGTTTTCCAGTTAACTCCACCCAAGTTCCTCAAACCCTTCTCCACACCATCCATCCCATTCTTGATCCACCTTTCTTCCTCTTCCCTTCTGGTTTTACGAGCATTATATGTTTTTATAATTTCTCTCCTTTTTTTTATTGCTAGTGGGGTGGGACTACGTTCATTGTACTGCGGCCACTTCTGGCCTATTGTACCAGTCCCAGATGATGGGTGAGGGAGATTGTGGAGCAACTGGCGGAATGAAGATTGGAAAGGGGAAACCGAAGTACTCGGAGAAAACCTGGCCCAGCGCCACTTTGTCCACCACAAATCCCACTTGACCAGACACGGGATCAAACCCGGGCTGCCGCAGAGGGAAGCCAGTGACTATTTTTTGTCTCTCCTTAGTAATATCCGCTCTGTAGTCAGTGAGGACATCTGTAAGCATAAAATTCTTTACTGGTATCCGTCATAACACAACAATGAAACGGTCTAGGTCAATATCACCTTAGCCACATTTCGGCTTTTAAAGCCATCATCACGCAAATACATGGTTACTACACACACACACACACACACACACACATACTATTGAATTGCATTTCAATGTGATGGTACAATGGAGCTGGATACTTGACTTCTATGTTACATTATACTAATACAAGGTATGATAATGCAATAAAATTATTATAAAACGAAAGTTTACAGTAAAATATGGTTAAAAACTATTCATGTAATGCTTCATACTATGAAGTCAGTTGTTGCAATCTTGTTATAAGCACTGTAAGGGAGCATGGTCTAAAGAGCGATAGTACATTCCAAGTAAAAATCCATGGATCATTAGTTCCTTCCACACTGCAGTGTCATCTTAAAGAGTGGCCTGGCTGGCTGTTTCTTGAGCTTTCTTAAGTCCTAAAGGATTGAACTGTCCAAATTTTGTAGTGTCAGGAACTAGCTCTTTTGCCCTTGCATGACGTAGCTGTGCCCAGGAGTCATGACAAGGACATGCATACATATATCAACGTTAGCAGACTTGCATAGCGGCCAATGGCGACTATTTTGAGGGCTGATGTGGATCTGTGTAAATGTGTGGGAATATCTTGTAATTCATTCATTCATCAGTAATCTGTCAGACGACAGGTCCACAGTCTCTTCCAAAACAGTTCCTCCACTTAATGCGATCTTCTGTTTTTGGGTAGAGACTATCCAGGAAAAGTGATAATGTGGTAGTTTTTCCATTTGCTTTCCACATCGCAGTA